CAGTTTGGTGGCTACCATAGGGGTTGCTGGCCACAAAATCGCAAATCGTGCAAAGGTGGGTACAGGAGCCACCACGTCGTTCATCGGAATACCTTGTGGCTGTACTTGGAGATAGAGTCGAACGGATACCTTTCTGCTCTCGGGTGACTTTGGTAGATGGATCTTAACGTAATGCCAAACATGCTGTAGAAACAACTATTGAATTAGGCTGCCAACTTTTGCCTGCTCGTTTCTTGATCTTGCCAGATAGCACGGAGGACCTAATCATCGGACAAGAACTTCTGGCGAACATTCGTGCTCGCCTCACGATGGCTGGACTGCCATGTGTTTTTATCCTCCATAGTATGGAGGGTATATTAACTTTGTCATTCCGTTTGTAACACCTCTAAACATACATTTTAGACCCATAAAATTCCATGTCGATTTAGCGATATCCGAACGTAATGTAGTAGGTTGATAACATTATACTCAAATGTATATTATATCCACAGGTTTTTATACCCTCCACCATTCTATGGAGGGTATATTAACTTTGTCATTCCGTTTGTAACTCCTCGAAATACTCATGTCAGACCCAACAAAGTATATATATTCTTGATCAGCGTAAAATTCTAAGACGTTTTAGCCATGTCCGTCTGTATGTATGTTGTAATCACGCTATCTTTCGAATGAATTGAGATAGATGGCTAAAATTTTGCACACATGTTTAGTATTCCAGTAGGCAGGTTAAGTTCGTAAATGGTAGGTCCACGTTTTCATATAGCCCCCATATAACGGTACCTCCCGATTTTCGGTATTTTAATGATTTTAACGACATTATTCACCGGAATTGTTTTAAATTTGGTATTTAAAGTTCGAAATGGATACTACAACCTAAGACAGGAAATTGTCTGTGCAAGTCCACGTCTTCATATAGCCTCCATATAACGGTACCTCCCGATATTCGGTATTTTAATGAATTTAGCGACATTATTCACCGGAATTGTTTCAAATTTGGTATTTGAAGTTCGATTTGGATACTAAGACAGAAAATTGTCTGTGCAGGTCCACATCTTCGTATAGCCCCTATATAACGGTACCCCCCTATATTCGGTATTTTGATGATTGTTGCGACATTATTCACCGAAATTGTTTCAAATTTGGTATTTGAAGTTCGAATTGAATACTACACCCTAAGACAGAAAATTATCTATGCTGGTTCAGGTCTTCGTATAGGGCTCATATAACAGTACATCCCTATATTCGGTATTTTGACGATTTTAGGTACAATACCCACCGAAATTGTTTGAGGTGTGGTATTTGAAGTTCGTAATGGATGCTACAGCCTGTGACAGAAAATTGTCTATGCAGGTCCAGGCCTTCGTACAGCTCCGATATAACGGTACCACCCTATATACGATATTTTGATGATTTTAACTACATTATTCAACGATTTTTTTTAACGGATTATGGCAAAAGTTGCCTATGCCTGTCCACGGCGTAGTCCATTCAATATTTTTAAGATTTCAACCGAAGTTTTAACGGATTTTTTTTGAAATTGCCAAGTTCGTTCAAATTGGTGGAGGGTATTCAATGTTCGGTCCGGCCTATTTTTTCAGGTTTTTTACTTGTTTGATATAGTTGCATATAGATAACAATAATCTTATGCAGCAAATGCAGAGCTTTAATATTATATGAGAGTGTCGAAACTAAAACCAAATAAGGTATTGGTAAATTGAGATACGTGATCTCTTCTCTTAAACCATAGACTTAAGGTATTATGCTAGTATATGGTTTACCTTGTGCTAAAGGTTCACATCCGTATAGTAAAACAGGCCCATTTACTAACATTAGAAAGATCTTCCTTAAGTTGATCATTATTATTCAAATGACTACTATGAACTTCTTAAGTGGAAGAACATTTGCACTGAGAAGATTGAGAAGAAGAGGGATCCTAATACCGAATTTGGAAAGTTTTTATTAACCGGCAATAACGGGTATATTTGTATAATTTAAAGTGGAATTACACGCATTTAATTCTTCAACAACCAACTCTAGTATGTTTGTTTATCTTTCGAGACGAGCTTAATAATCTGAAATTTGCTGTGAAAAAGTTCTGCTAATAGAACTTGGAGAGTTTCTAATGTTTAATTCGCATATGCTACTTCGCAATAAGTTCAAAATATATACTACTTTCCAGAGAACGGCCCTTGTAAGCCATCATCCACACCAAATAGGCCTGATGAGCCGCTTAAACAACGGCGAAACGCGTCGCATAGTGGTGAGTGTGTGATAGTGTCTATCTGGCTTTCCTTTTCACTGCAAATTTCAGATCATTAAGCTCGTCTCGAAAGAGAAACAAACACATAAATCATAAACATATGATCTTCGCCTTAACAAGGCAAAACTTAAAAAAAATTGTGTTACGCTTTTGACCGTGTCAAACTGTATAAGACAGTATTTATAACAGTTCCCATAAAACTGTATAACAAAAACGTCACGACAAAGCTAAATAAAAACAGTAAGTAAACGTACTAAGCTCTCCACAAATTTATTATTTCTTATTTGCTTAACTATCACGTTTTATCACTGATTTATTCAATGCACATGTTGGGTTGTTCGAAAATGCATAATAATAGAAATGATTTCGAATACAACATCACAATAAGAAATGGAATTTTAATATAAAATGTTATTCACATTAGGCAATAATCTTCAATAATCATATTCTAGTGCAATAATCTATTCACACAATTTGTAGATACTTCGGCTACGTTTATCGGTCTAAGGACAATATCGGCTTGTTTGTTCGGGGTAAAAATGTTATTTACTAATATCATCTGCTTAAAGCGAACACAAGTCAAACCGATGACAAATACTTTCAGCTACGTTCTAATATTTGATATAATACAATAAATGTGGAAATAGAAAAAGCTCATGAATATTTGGCGCCACTCCTTATTCATGACTGTGGTAGCTGCATTGGTACTTTCCGAATCCATCTGCTTATTAGGAACACAAATCAATTGCAAACGGTTACATTGCTATCAATATCATACTAAAAGCTTTCCTTGTTGCATCAAATGTGATGTACAGCCAAATGTGAAAATGGTTTATGAATACAAACAATGTAAGCAATAAATATACCGGAAGTGACTTAGAAGTCATGCCTAAGCAACATAAATCATAGCGGAAGTTACGTCTTTCGAAAGGAAATGAACCATGCCTTTGAGACGTAAATAAATAGCGTCTACGACGTTACTGTTAGTGGTCGCGGAAATAACTTCCACGACATGTATTGAAAATGAAAAAAAAAAAAAAAAAACTTCATCTTGTGATTTTTTTATTTATGTTTTTTATTATATTACTTTTTCCGAAGTACACCTTCATAGAACTTATATTTCTTAGCTGAAATGCTCTTGACAAAATTTCATAAATGTATGATTAAAATAAATATATATTGTTGTACATATCTTGTTACTCTTTATTTGTATCAGGGCTAGGCAGAGAGCCTCAAAAAATTTTTGTGATTGCATGTGTTTTGAAATAACAAAATATTGCAAGTGCTTTTTGCCTCTCTTTACAGAGAGAGAAATAATTTGTTGTCTTTAAATTTTCAATTTAAAATTTTCTATTTTCAAAACAACTTCGTTGGTAAAAAATATAATTTTGAGTAGACAATTCGGAGATATATTTGCACAATTATTTCAATTATGAATCATTTTAAAATGAAACAAGTAAAAGAGCTGTAAGTTTGGCCTGGCCGAATTTTGAATACCCTCCACAGTTTGGAACGAATTTGGCAATTTTCTAAAAAATAAAATCCGTAAAAAATTCTGTTAAAATCTTAAAAATACCGAATGTTGCCGTTATATTAGGGTCAAAATTACGACGTGGACCTGCATAGGCAACTTTTGTCATAAACCATTACAATATTCAAATTCGAAACTTGAATAAAAAAATTCAGTGAATAATGTAACTAAAATCATCAAAATACCGAATATCGGGAGGTACCGTTATATGGGGTCAATACCAAAACGTGGACCTACATGGCCCATTTTCAATACCAAAAGTCCTGCAAACATAATATACATTTGAGTAAAATTTTATTAATCTACTTCATTTCGTTCGGAAGCTAGAGCGATTTTCACAGACGGGCGGACATCGCTAAATCGAAATAGATTTTTATGCTGATCATGATAATATATTCTTTGTGGGATCTTAAATGTATATTTGGAGGTGTTACAAACGGAATGACAAACTTAATATACACTCCATATTACGGTGGAGGGTATAAAAAAATAATATAAATGTCCTTCAAAAATATATAAGTTAATATAACTTTTATGTTATTTGTGTTTAATAATTTCGGACATAACATGCTAACCAAGAAAGTTGACCCTTTAAAAAGTAATACCGATTACCACAGGCTGATATACAGACATATGCAAATAGTCGTATAATTTTACTCTGATTTTACTCATATTCTGTGTTGGCTCCTAAAATATTATTTCTGTGAATTACAAACAGAATGGTAAACATCAAACAGAAATCAATCAAAAAAAAAAATAAATAAATAAATAAATCTTAACAGTCGTAATTTTAACAATTTCGCAAATATTTGTTTCAAATATGTAGTAAGATATATTTATGTATTCCAATATTTCTTACGGTGTATTCATAAAAATATCCGACAGCACCTTCCCCATCGACTGCTCGAATAAAACTAAATATTCTCAAAAAACCAATTTGACAGAAAACTCAAAACAATTTATTTTTACAGTTGTATTGGTGAACACATAGATATTCCAAGGGATACTCTTTGCCTAGCCTTGATTTGTATAAAAAAATGATAGATATTAGTATCTACAAAGAAAGATAATTACACAGTTGTCGGTCTATTTAATGGTGTAAGCATCAGCAGTCCATCTCAGTTTGATCGAAGTAAAATTGTGAATCAAAAGTGCTTGAGTCTATTTGCATAAGAAGCAAAAATGCAATTATTTGGGATAAAGAATATGTAAACATCTTACTCAGAGAAACCAACGTTTAATGCAGCATAAATACATTCATAAAGAACCTTACTATAACTTGAAGTTTAAAACCACCTCTACATTTCAAAGTGAGCAAAAATGTAAAGTGAGGAACAAACAACACAAATGGCAGAACGCTTGTGAAAATACTCTTCTCAAGAAATTTCCCTCATCTGTATATATATATATATATACATATATAATACATATATATATATATATATATATATATATATATATATATATATATATATATATATATATATATATATATATATATATATATATATATATATATATATATATATATATAATATATATATATATTTATATAAATATTTTTTTTATTTGCACATATCACAGTTATATATGTAGGAGCAAAATAGCTTATTTAAGAAGTTGGTGTGCTCTTTGATTTGCTACAGCTATTCTAGCTTCATTCGATTCCGCCTGCAAATGCAAAGCATAATGTTGAATTATTTACCATATATCGCTTAAAAAATATTCTTACCTTTCTATTAATCCTGTCAATTTGTCGATTTTGATTTTCCAACTCTGATCCCATGTCAAGTGCCATATTTCGAAGATTTCCAATCATTGTATTCACTTGACCCATATTCTCTTCCATTTCGTCTTCCCTCGCATCATTAGTAATTCTGGAAATAAAAGAAAACATTTTGATTTGATTTCTCAAAAATTTTACTCAAAGAGGATCTCCTACATCCTTCTAATGAGGAAAATTGTAGAAACTTTTCTCTCGTTTTTATGAATTTGTGCAACTATAAAATATTATTTTGTTATAGCCTTTAAATTATTTCCTTGTAGACTATGCTACAGAATAAAACTAAATTCAACATTTTTTTGTGAATCGTATTTTGATTCCTTCCATTCTAGGTTTTATAATTTTTATTGCTTATTTCTATTTTAGCATCTTGTCTGTTTGCCCATTATTGAAAATTATAAAATTTTAGTTGACGTTTGGATATATTTTTAAAGTAACTTCATTGTCTTATTGAGACTATGATGTGTCGTGGATCCCATACAGGCGCTAGTGCTACAAAAAAGGCTAGCAATTTTTTTTTTTGTTTTTTTTTTTTTTTTAACCACTGGAATTTTGACTTGCTCTTTGAGCCCCTTTTGTGTCGTCCTCTTACTACGCTCTTCTATAATCTTTTAATCTCGCAACAAGGACTGGCAGGATCTTCTGCAACTAGTGCAGGAATGACCGACTTTTAATTTCTATTTGTAGATTGATCTTTAGCCAATAGATTTTTTTTATTTATGGTTCTTTGTGTGATGGATCATTGGGAATTCCATCGAATTTATGAATGACTTCTGCATATGTAGCAAATATTGAGTTATTTTCTTCAACATATGGTTCTTACGCTCTTTGACATTCATATTTTACTTGCTGTCCTTCAAGCTATAAAAAAAGGAAAAGAGTTGTACGTCAAAATAATTAAACACAACCAGTGCAATGGCAGGAGAACAACAACAGCATGCATACAGTTTAGACGATACTACTGCTTGCATTGCGTCCTCAGCCGCCTCCAATAGTGCATCAGAAACTGCTCATTTTGCTATTAATAACGAATTAATCGTAGTTGCCCCAAAATCAGTACATTTGTTTCTAGACTACATCCTAGTACTTCTGTAGTTAACATTAGTAATTGTATGAAGTCCAAAATTCTTGTATTCGGAAAAACCTACTCTTGTAAAATCAATAACCTTATCCTCTGAATACGATGTTCCAAAAAAAAATCTTTGCTTTACCAATATTTTAGAGCCCTAAACACTAAAGTTAAAAATACTTTATGTATAAGTCTTTTGCATCTGATTTTTAAATGTCGTTTTTATAGAAACTGGGATTAAACTGGATATCCAGATACTGAAATTTTACTCGATCAATACCATTTTCTTACAAATAATAAATTAAATAAAGTCTGTGGGGAGTGCCCATAGCAGTTCGCAGGTCTTATTCCTTTAAACTTGTTTTGTTTATCCATATACAAAATTTTGAATTCGTGTGTGCAAAATTAGCATATATTAACCAAACTATTTATATAACATATTCGAATATTCCTCAAAATTTCAAGTATTTAAAATTCAAGTATTTATTTAAAACATGCTGAAAATTTTACATATTCACTCATAAAATTCCTAATTAATTTGTCTAGGCGACCTTAACTTACCAAATACCATCTGGCTGAATAAATTCAATGGACTAAAACAAATTAATTCCCCTTAGTTATTGGTACAATAACCAAAATTATGTTGTAGCAAGTCGCTCTTGTTTTTTTATTCTTTATCGATACCAAGCGAATCATGAAGGCAAACTGATGTCTTACCAACTCATATTGACTTACAATGAAAGATACTTTCGCCAAACTCTCACGATTGCTTGTCGAACATACGTCTAAATTTACATTCCATGGAGTGAACCAAGTAACAACATGTTAAAATGTCGATAGGTCGCTAAAAACATGAGTACTATACAAAAAAAAAAAAATCAGAACCAAATCAAGTCGTCTTTCACTTTTTCAGCACTGGAGTTGACTTTGCTGGAAGTTGCCCCGCAAAACTGTTCTGGCAGGTAATGACACATACTGCAATATATTATATAAAATAATAGAAAATATAAATGGACTTTTCAGGCCTATTCGTATATTAATTGTTTGTCAGAACTTGGAATGGGACTTCACAGCGCCTGGTGCCACAGATTTGGCGGATAGGGTATCTTAAAAATAGGACATTGTCCACACGACAATCACTTTTGAAGAACTATTCACCTTTCTGAATTGCACAGAATCTTAGTTGAATTCTAGATTTTACTATTTTGTACTATAAGTGATGATCCAAATAATCTTCCACCACGGAACCTGGACATTTCCTCATTGATGTTCCATAGTTATATCCACCTGAACAGGGCCTTACCGAAGAAAATATATAGCATATGTCTGAAGTAAAAGGTGAAATATTTAAAAGAACTTCAACAACATTACAAATAGAAAGACAGCAACAAAATTAGTGGAGGTAAGGACCAATTGTTAACTTATATCCAGATACAGATCAGAATACCTGTTTCGACCCTCAAATCGAAAACCACTATCAGAACGTTGACTCGAAGCCAAACGTTCTTCGTTATGATTACTCAAAGAAAGAGAATGCCACAAATTCACTTCATACAACACGATAGTCAGAGGCGCCTCCGAATTCCGCATGATTTAAAACCTTAGCGGCCCTTTTAACAGAAACATTGTCTTTGTCTGTACGTATTAAAATTGCAATTCCAGACTAGATTTACAAAATGCTTTATATTTTAAAATTAAATCGCATTTCTTCTTTTATTACCCTTTTAGTTTTAGAAAATAACTCCAATCATTCTTTTCATTCTTCCTTTGTTCTGACCTACATAAGTTAAAACCATAATAAAACAAGTTAAAAAGTATCAGTCGGTATTGCCGCCAGAGATATATCCTCAGCCTATGTTCGATTATCTAAATATATTTTGACTAGTGTTAAGATTATGCCAAGTCTAAATGGAATCGGATGTTAATTTGGCGATTTATGAGCTTCATGGGTACTCAAAATTTCAATATTTTGTGGGGGAGGTGCTTGATGGAGTGGACCGATATTGTCCATTTCCACACCTGCCCTAGCACTGATGCAAATATTAGGATTTGCAAAGTTGGAGCAAATTTGGATTATCCTTTCTCTTTCTGTGCAAAGAATGTATTTATTGAACATTTTGACCTTTTGTGTCGGAGGTACCAGAAGGAGTGGACCGATATTGTTCATCTTAACACCAGACCTTGAGTTAATATAAATATTGGGATGTGTGAAATTTGAAGACAATCGGACTCTTACATAACATTTTATGAGAGTTGTAATTATTCAAAATTTTGACCATTTGTGGGGAAGGTACTTGATGGAGGGGACCGATATTGCCCATTTTCACACCTGACCTAGCACTGACGCAAATATTATGATTTGCAAAGTTGGAGCGAATTCGGATTATCCTTTCTCTTCCTGTGCAAAAAATATATTTTTTGAAAATTTCGACCTTTTGTGGGGGAGGTACCAGAAGGAGTGGACCGATATTGCCCATCTCCGAACTCGATCTAAGTTTGACAAAAATATTACGTTGTAGCCAATTTGGACCAAATCAGATACTCCCTTCGAGAGTTATCGTGCGCACCAGCCAGCCAGACAGACAGACGGACGGACGGACATCGCTAGATCGACTCCTAATAATTCATCATTGTAATTTTTATACCCTCAGCCATATGGCTACAGAGGGTATATATCATTTGATACGGTCAAAACGTGCCTAGTCGAAATAATGGTTTTATACCCTAGGTCTCTTTGGACCAAATCCGTTTCAGAACATTTGGAGTCGATCTACCGATGTCCGTCCGTCTGTCTGTAGGTCCACGACTTCGTATCGCCCCCATATAACGGTACCTCCCTATATTCGATATTTTGATGATTTTAGCAACATTATTTACCGGAATTGTTTCAAATTTGGTATTTGAAGTTATGCACAGCCTATGACAGAAAATTGTCTGTGCAGGTCCACGTCTCCATATAGCTCCCATATAACGGTACCTCCTAATATTCGGTATTTTGATGATTTTAGTGTCATTATTCACCAGAATTGTTTCAAATTACATATTTAGAGTTCATAATGGGAACTTCAGTCTGTAACAGAAAATTTTTTATACAGGTCCAGGTCTTCGTATAGGCGTCATATATCAGTACCTCCTTATATTCGGTATTTTGGCGATTTTAGGTACAATACTCACCGAAATTGTTTGAGATGTCGTATTTGAAGTTCGTAATGGATGGTACAGCCTATGACAGAAAATTTTCTATTTTGGTCCACGTCTTCGTACAGCCCCCATACAACGGTACCCCCCGATATACGATATTTTCATGATTTTTTTTTAAATTTCTAAATTCGTTCCAAATGGTGGAGGGTATTCACAGTTCGGCCCGGCCGAACTTACTGCTTTTTAACTTGTTTTAAATTGAAATATTAAGAGTGTTACAACTATAGTCTGTTTCTTACTGCTCCATTACAGATTTGCGGACTGTGTTATCTGAACCCCAATCGGCATCTACGAACCAAATTATCTCTTCATCCCCAAAAATTATATTGGCAAACCATGTGGAGTTTTTTAGTTCCTTTAATGTAGTAAAAAACTCTTTTTAATGTAGACCAATGTATCTCGCTGGACTGTTTTGAAATCTGCTCATGTACGATTCTCATGTAAGCAATTGGCGATTTTCTTTTCCTGAATCTGTTGCACATAAGGAAAACAGTCTTCGACAAAACAAACATCTCTTGCCATAACTATGTTTTGGATTCCACAATCTGTATCCATTAAACTATAACCTATCATAACCATTTCTTGTGATTTTGAATTCAGTATTTTTCTTTTCTGTTTAGCAACCCAAAAAAATGGCATACATCCAAAAACCCTTAGTTTTGAAATGTTAGGCTTAAACTTGTATCACAATTCGGCAGTGTCTTTTTGTCAGAAAGAGATTTGTAGGATACAATAATTTTCCCAAATCAGTTCTTTTTATACCCTCCACCACACATAGTATGGAGGGTATATTAAGTTCGTCATTCCGTTTGTATCTCATCGAA